GCACCCAAAGTACTTTGAAGCCTCGCCATTTATGAGTAGAGCTCTAGCTATTGGTGCAGACATCCCTCAGGCTCCGCATTATGGTGAGGTCAGTGCCCCAATTAGCCATTCAGGTACCCAGTCAGAGATCAAAAAAGTGCCTGAATCACTCATGTTTTCTACGCACAGATGCTGAACAAAAATATTGTACCTGTTCCTGCTATTATACTTCTCCGCTTTCCCGCTGTACAGGTGTTCCTTACTCATTGAAAGTTAAGGCTTTTCTTTACTTCTTGATCCTTTGGCCACTGCTTCCTCAAGGTCTTTGATTCCTATTTTTTCTTCCCTCTGTGCCTTTAAATATTTTTTAATATGTTTTTATTGATTTCAGAGAGAGAAAGGGAGAGGGGGAGAGAGATAGAAACATCAATGGTGAGAATCATTGATCAGCTGCCTCCTACACACCCCCTACTGGGGATTGAGCCAGTAACCCGGGCGTGTGCCCTGACTGGGAATCAATCCTTGATCCCCTGGTTCATGGGTCCACTCTCAACCTCTTAGCCCTGCCGGCGGGGCCTCTGTGCCTTTAAAATCCCCTTTTGGTTCACATTTTCTGCATCTCCTCTGTAGTCACCTTCATTTGGAAGAAATATTGTTAAAAACCACTGTCAATGTTAGAGCCAAACTTATGCATGTGTGAGCCTAAGATTTCAGAATACAAGATCATTGTAGACAAGGATTCTTTACTGCAAGCCTCAAATATATGTGATGTTTAAAGGTTGAAAACTAACCTAGTGTGCTTTGGATCCTGTTTGGTTTAGAAATATTTTATTAAGTACCTGTAGTGTACTGAGCAGAGTAATAGATTCGGGGATACAAAGATAACACGCAGACCGTCAGGTGGATGGACTAAGTGCTGAAAGGTTACTTAGGGTCTCCTGCGGTGAGGGCAGTATTGCCTGGACCTTACAGCTGTCTCTGTTACCTGTCCCTGGGGCCCTCCTCCCTCTATTACACTAACTTCTCGTATGTAAGATCTCATCTTAAATAGCATCCCCTTTGTGAAACCTTTCCCAGCCCCCTAAAGTTTGCCCTTCCTCCCCCATCCCACCTCCAGTTTCCCATAAAACCCTTAATTTCTCATGGCACTTACACACAGTATTAAATTTTCCTGTCTCCTTGGAATCTTCACCTAGAGCCTGGAACCATGACTCCTTGACATGGGTATGCCTGGCAGTTTATTGTGTGTTCTGTGTGCCTGGCAAATAGTGGGTTCAATGAACAATTGTGGAATGATTGAATAGATAATAGGTATTTTAATATCTGAATATGGCATTCACAGCCACTATTCTAAAAGCATTCTGCTTCCATGAACTGGTTTGATCCTTACAACAGCCCTGGGAAGTAGATGCTATTTTCATCACAGTTGCTATTTGAAGATGAGGAAAACAAGGCACAAAAAGGACAAGTAGCTTATCCAGGGTCACCCAGGAAGGGGATGTGGCTTGCAGGTTTCTGACCTAACCGCCATACTTCATATGTGCTGTAAAACCCAGAGGAGAGGCCTAGAGTGAGTGATGCTTGAGCTGGGTCTTAACACAGCAGTGGGAGTTGGCAGGTGAGGAGGCAGAGAGAAGCACTTCAGGCAGAAGAACTAACAGCCAGGTCAAGGACCTCGAGGTGGGTGTCAAGCCTAAGGTGAGGGGTAGCAGGAGATACTGGAGAAGTCAGTGGCAGCTTCCTCATGGAAGGCTGTGAGTGCCTCTCACTTCAGTCTCATTAGCATTTAATAAGTGCAGGTGTGGTGCAGATACGACACTGTGTGTGTCACCTAGCCTGGGGGTTCAGGAAAGGCATCCTAGAGGTGGTGACACCTGTGCTCTCCTGGGGTTGCAGACTCAGAAGTGTACGGAGCCAGGCAGTTAACCTAAATGTGTGAGGGAAGAGTGGGGCCTGTGGCACCAGGAGAGTGCATGTTCTTTCTGTAGGTGCAGCCATGCCCAACTCCTGCCAGTGTTTGCTATGAGTAAAGGCTTAGTCCTTCTAGACTTAATTTTTTAAAGAAAAGTTAGAAATCCAAACTTGTATGAGAAGTCTCTGGATTTTTTTAATGTTAGGTCATTTTCAAGCAGCAGTATTTTGACAAAGAACAATACAGGCTACCCAGTTCAATTTGAATTTCAAATAACAAAAACATTTTTAGTATACATATATTCCAAGTATTGCATGGGATATGCTTATATTAAAAATTATTTGTTGTTTATCTGAAAATCAAATTTAGCTAGGTATTTTATATTCTCTCTGGCAACTTGAGTTAGGAACCAAGCATAATTTGTGCTCTGCCTATGGCCCATAGGGCACCACTTGACAGCTGCTATGGAGTGTGCATTATTAGTCAGGTGACACTGTGAAGGAGCCAGTGGCAGCTAAGCCCGGGAGAGGAAGGAGGCTGGTCATGGAGGTCCTGTGCCATGGCAGCTTTTCGGGAGACTCAGCATAACTTAAGAAAAAACTCCAAGAACTGAGGCCCTGGGACTAGAAGAGGAGTTTCAAAGGCACTGAGTCCCCTGCCTTTCTCAGCACCAGTGTCCTCTGCCTCTCCTTGCACATTGACCCCATTCTCTCCTGTTACATAAGTGTCTCCCTCAAGAGGGAAGGAACACAGCTGTGGATGCCTGTGTTGACAGCCTACTAGAAAGGGCTCCTTTGTCTCAGGAAGGAACCTGACCCCACAGGAATCATTAATCAGTATTGCCAAGGGGGTGAGAAATGTCCAAAACTGAATAAAGTGCCTTGACCAGAGGTAAGTCTAATAGTGTGCAGTAACCGTCAATAGCTTGAAACTGTCCAAGGTGGGAGTATGTATACCATGAAAATGGGCAAATGTCACAAGTCAGGGCCTTTTTTTTAAACCAGCACGTGACTGATGATAATACTTGCTTAAATTGAATTTACTTGTATGCCCGGCACAGCTCTAAGCTCTTTACATGTGTTAATCCCATGGCACTGGTTTCTTGCAGGCAGGATCATTTGTGTGTGTTTTATTGTCCCTCTAATGTTTTACTTCAGAGTGACTCAGTGCATTTTCATTGATTTTTTTGGAATGATTGAGTAAAAAGTGTATATAACATATAAATCAGTAGTTTTCAGTCATCTCTGGGCTTCAGGAATCCTGTAGGTGCCCCATCTGGGCCCCACACTGTCTTATAGGCTTGGAATTTCTGGGTGGTTTTATTTTATTTTATTTTATTTTAAATATATCTTTTTATTGATTTCAGAGAGAGGGAGAGAGAGATAGAAACATCAGTGGTGAGAGAGTCATTGATCAGCTGCCTCCTGCACGCCCCACACTGGGGATCGAGCCCGCAACCAGGGCATGTGCCCCGACCGAGAATAGAACCTCCATTTCCTGGGTGATAGGTCATGCTCAACCGCTGAGCCACGCCCGGCCAGGCCCTGGGTGGTTTTAAGAGCCATCACCTGTAGTTCTGACTCACCAGCAAGGTTGAAAACTGTTGATGCATAGTGTTGACATACTGTGGGTCTTTTTACAATGGGCCTGGGTCAGAGTCACATTGCAATACGTGGGAGTGCATTTATTGTACCGCTTATTAGCTTTACAACACAGAACAGCTGTATTTGACGAGGAGCCTTTGCTTTCTCCCCACTCGTTTGCTGGCACTCATACTTAGCCCCTACTCCTGTTGACCTGTCCCCTCCCCTCTGGATTCACCCAGCTAAGGGCTGCTCTTGTAGGTGTCAGTGTAAACATCACCCCCTCAGGGAGGCCTACTCCCACGCCTTTGCCAGGTCTATACAGGCTTACCCCTTGTGCCAGCCGTGCTGTCTAAACCTGTCTTGGCTTAACATCTGAAGAAGAAGGGTCAGGTTGCTCAGTGTGGCCTCTTACACACTGCCAAGTCTGACCCCAGACCGCAGTCCTGCCTAGGGGTTCAAGTGTATGTGATGCTGGCCTTTAAAAACACAACAAAACATAGCATATTTCACTCAAAAAGCTGGGATTTTATTGTTGAGAAATCAAATCTGTCAACAATCGGCAAAGCATTTATCTTTGTGCCTGCTTCCAGAGGCTTCCATTGTCCTTTTTCCTCAGTTTTTCTTATGGTGGAAAAGTAAGAGCTATTTCCTGTACCTGATAGAGGCTGCACGATTCCTCCTTCCAGTCGCCTGCTTGGTGCCCATGTATAGTTCTCTTTGAGACTCCTGTGTGTCAAATTATTAAACTGAAACAATTAAGGAACTAGTTTGATGTCCTATCTTCAAGGGAAAACAATCCATGGATTGGGGGAGTGCAGTGCCTCACCAGCAGTGGACCACTCTCCCAGAAGGATCTGGGGCAAGAGCGCGTGTTAGGGAGCATTAGAGGAGACAACACCGAAACACAACGTGGTTGGCTAGGAGGCCAGGGATTTCCTCATAAGGCTGGCAGGTGCTGTTTCATGCGGTAAGGCAAGCTAAACCTGAGTTGGAGGATTGTGATTGGTGTAAGCTAGGTTACCTTGGCAGGTGTTCCCCGTAGGTGCAGGCTGACTTAGCTTTAGATTTGTGGCGCGGACTGGGCCACTGGGGTGGCCTCCATTTAGTGGGCTCCGATAAACGCATTAACTTTATCACCTGAGGTGGGGCATTTTAGCAAGGATGGACCAAGGACAGTTGTAGTGATAAAATGGTGAATATATTTACCTTCTTGGTCATTTGTTAAATAAGTTTACAAAGCTTTGCCAAGTCTTAATGATCTCCAACTCATTAGAACTCGGGAGAAAGATAAGTAATTATCTTGGTTATTTAATTGTATACTGATGATGGTATAATTTTGGAGTATTAAAGAAAACACTACAGGTACTGGGATTTGCAGGGGTGGTTAAATTGCTTGTGAAAGGTGTTAAACTGAAGAGCTTTATAATTGCAGATCTCCCCCCCCACACACACACACCTGCCCTGTGAGTGATTCCATCAGGTCTTCAGGTCTGCGAAATTAAGAGTGAATTTTATATTTAATCTCTCTTTTTTCTTTCCCTTATCTACAGCTCATTTATAATAGCTTTGCTCAGTTTCTGGTGAAGGAGAAAGGATATGACAAGGAATTGCTCACTGTGACTCCAGAGGACTGGGATTTCTGGTAGGCTCGTGTTTTTAAGGTTCCCGTGTTCCTTCTGATCTCTGGTTGTGGCCGATAGAATCATATGCTTCCTCCTGTGGAGACAGAAAGTGAAATGTGCAATTGCGTCAAAGGACAAAATGCCTTCTCTACTAAAAAGCTTTATGTTTCATGAATTAAAGTCCTTTCTACTTTAAATTTAGACTTAAATATGAAACAGGCTAAGAGGTATGTGACTAATTTAAACACTTTCACATGGTTAAGTTTGTCGTTATTAAGAGTTTCGGAGGTTATAAGAACCATCTCTAAAATGTACATCTCTCACAAAGTTTTGTTTTGCTAAGTAATCCTAAAACACATGAAAAATACATGCAGGAATAATTCTAGAGCAACGATGTTCATCTAGTATGCATTCCTCCAGTGTTTGGTTAGCCCTGTTTTATTTAATCCCTTTTGTAAAAGGAAGACACAGAAACATTTTACTATGTGAAACTGCTGACTCTGGAAATTTTACTGTGGACCAAAGTATATAAGGTTTCTAAAGTACCCTGTCAATTTTTAATTCTCACGGTAGTTGGTGGCCACTGTACCTTCTTGCTTTTATTATTTATTAATAATGGAATCTGTACCCACTTTTCTCCCCAAATCCCACAGGTCTTTTAGAGTGAAGAGCCTAAAACTTAATATTTGACTTTTTTTTCAGTTGTTTTCAATAATATACCTTACCCAGAGGGCTAGTTTTATAACCTCACCTAAATTGAGGCAAATTCTAAAGAGTAAGAAAAGACTCTGGCTAAGATCTTAACTTGCAGAATATGAATATGTGCATGCATGTGTGTGTGTGTGTTATTTAATGGAAAACATTTTCACTTTTTTAAAATCATCACCTTAGGATATGTTTTTTATTTATTTTTCTTAGAGAAGAAGGGAGAGAGAAAGAGTAACATCGATGTGCGAGAGAAACAGCTATTGGTTGCCTCCAGTACGTACCCCAACCGGGGATCCAGCTTGCAACCTAGGCATGTGCCTTGTCTGGAAAGCGAATGCGCAGCCTTTTGGTGTACAGAACGATGCTCAGAAAAGCTGAGCCACCCAGCGGGGCAACATTTTCACTTTTAAACAGAGATACGCAATGATGTTCATTTTTGGTTCTCTTTGAGTTTTGTATTTCTCTTTTTAAAAGCTTGAGGGTTTAGAAAGTAAATGTGCTGTCCTTTGCTCACATAACAGTTTTCCTTATATACTTGCTCTGTGGATGATATTTAATTTTAAAATTCTTGGATATTCTTAACTGTTTAACATATCATTCACCTGGGTGAGAAAATGCCTTTTCCGCATTGTGACTCTGAAAATATAGATTATCATTTCTTGAGTTAGGTAAATACATGAATTGATTGGTAATCAGACATTTCTATTTTAGTTGCAAGGGCTTGGCATTGGATCTGGAAGATGGGAACTTCGTAAAACTTGCAGATAACGGCACTGTCCTCAGGTAATAAAATCTGATTGTGAAGTCAAAACTTTACTCTTTTCAGGATACTTTTTTACTCTATAGCATTTTATTGTTAGGGCATGGTTAAAGAAGTTTATCATTTTAATCAATCAGATGACAGATTATCTATGTGCCTGCATGTCTTTGTATGAAACATTTTGAGCCATTTAAATACAAATCTTAAGCATTAGACTTAAACATCCAGCTTTAAATTTAGCTCATCAGAAACATTTGCAGAAAATATGGTAGTTAATAACTTGTTTCACGTCATTGGCCACCCCTACTGCAACGGAGCCTTGGAATTACATCATTTTAGGTGGGTATATAGATACCTGGAATAAAATCAGAATTCTTTTTATTAAGGTGGAAGTAGAAAATGAATGTTGCATAGGGGTTGGTGGTCCATGCATAGGGGTTGGTCTTCTTCCATTTATCCAAATTTGCCCCCATCATGCAGGATTCATGTGGTGTCCCAGTTCCTTCTGGAAGCTTTGTTAGACTGTTCGAATCCTTATCAATCTCTCCTGCACTCTGTGCTGACTCCCTTTCCTTCCTTCTCAGGGTGAGTGCTACCCTTTGGGCGTTGGTAAAAGTAGGGCAAGCAGCTGGGAAGCAGCTGCTCTCACTGCTCCGGGTCTTACAGAGGGCATCACAGAGTGCGCGTCTATCTTTCCCCCAGTACTGACAGTACAGGCAAGTCCACGTGGCCTCGCAGCTGTGCGATTTATTATTTATACGAAGGGTCCAAGGAGAGGGCGCTCCGAGCAGAATGCTTCTTACACATACTCCCCCTTTTCCTACATCATTCTTTTTGCACAGTACAATTTCATGTTCTCCCTCAGACCTTCCTCTAAGGCACCGCCAGCTACAGTTGTTTGCGTGGCCCCAGGATTGTTTCGTTACTCATTTGCATGCTTTTCCTGGGCAAGAAGAGATAGAATGTATGTATGCGTGTGTATACATACACAGTGCAGCTTTAACTGCGACCTCTAACTCTACTATCATTTTGTTGCAATACACTTGTCTGCCTTAAATCCCCAGTTGAAGAATGGAAAGCATTCTGTGGTTTTGCTTCTTTCTTTCATTGTTATATCCAGTTCATCTCCCCTCCCAACACCCCTCCTGCAATGTCTGACCCTCTCCATTCATATTCTAGCCGCCCTGCAGTTTCTCCTGATTTAAGCTTATCTCCTTGATGCCTGCTTTCATCAAATACAGTAGCTTCCTTGTCTGATCATATTTCCCACTCAGGATCCCTCCATCTCTGTGTATCACTTTCTAAAACGTTAATCCCTTTGTAAAAAGGAACCTGTTTGTGATTTTCTTCCTCCATTTCTTTTTCCCTTAATTTTGCTTTGCTACCATAATATAACACCAAGAGAAGAATAATGATACTCTCTAGCATTATCATTTCTCATAATAAACTACATAAAATATCAGCTCTTTCTCTATAGGCTAAGAGTCCTTAATCAGAACCAACTGATGCAAGAGCAGTATTGTGAGCACAGAAAATAGCTACATCCTTGCCTTGCTGTCCCAAGTTTTGTCCCATTCATCTCTCTGTCATCCATTGTGTTTTTAGCTACATTATGTCCTTGAATGGGCAGGATGCTCGCCCATCTTCACAGTCTCCTGTGCCCACAAGCTGGCCATCCCCAGGTGCTAGGTGCCTCCCACCTCTCCTGCGGACCTGGTATAGCTCACAAGCTAGCTCTCCTACCTGTTGCTCTTTCTCCTGCTCCCAGACCCAATCCACATCATGTTTTTTCATTGTTCCAGTTAGGTTCATCTTCACAGTTATATGACAACTTCCTAGGAAAGGTAATGTCATATTCCTTTCAGAGAGATTATAGTTTATAGTTTCTACATTATAGATCCACATTGTGGACCTCAGAGGGGGCTGCTCCTGATCACTTGCTAGTTCTTTGATAAATGAAGAGCTAGAGCTGTCAAGAGAAATGCCTTATAGATTCCTAAATGGGGAAGTCATCCAACTGAAAACAAAGAGAACTTTCATTAATTTTAGAGGGGATTCACGATAGCAAGGTTGGAGGAAGGGGCATTCAAGGGGGCCGTTGATGAGCAGTGTGCCTCATCTCCCAAAACCAGGGCAAGCCATGGCACCAAGATGATGGCTCCCGAGGAGATGGCCAAGGAGTATGGCAGGAAGGAGTGGAAGTACTTCATGTCCGACACTGGAATGGCTTTCCGATCAGGTATGACTCACGTGAGCAGCACTGCCAGTCCCTCCCCTTTTATTTTGGACCCTGAACCCTCTACATGAGGACACGAAGGCCTTTCTTGCATCCTGTGGGCACGATACACAAGGGAGCAGCTGTGGTTTTATAGGGATAGGATGTATTTTTCTTCCACGTGTGTCTGATTTCTCTTTGGCAGTTGGTTCTATGTTAATTAAGGTTTTGTTGACACTCCTTTCCTAGCACTTGTTCTTGAAGAAAAAGTCTAGCACTTAGGAGTAATATATCCCTTAGTCGTCTGTATTTTTATCAGCCCTTTGTTAAGGGCTCAGTCCTTACTTTTATTTCTCTATCTCCATTTCTCTCTAAATTATATTACCCGCCTCTCCTGTTTTCTATAATTTTCCTCCTTTCTGCCAGTTCTAGTATCTTTTCCCTTAATCTTTTCTTTATTTTAAGTGATTTTACACACTTTTTTCTAGTCTTAAAGAGCTTTACCATGGGTACACGTGAAACAATTTTTCAGAAATTATTTACGGACATAGATGTGCATACAGTAATAGGGAATGATTAAAACATTTGTTATAAACAGACCTTATTAAAAGTCATAATTGTTAGTTTTTCACTTTTTCAAATTATTTTTGCCATTTTCTCCCACACTACAGTTTTGAAATGCATCTGTTCTTCTTTAGAAAATGTAATAACCTGAAAATAGTCAGAGTTACTCCTTGTCACAGTTGCGTTTCCTTTGTTTGTTACATCTGCTTTCTTTTGAGAGTTTTGTTTTGTTTTTGTAGAGAGGTGAAAATGTCAGGAAGTATGAGTACTCTTGACAACATAAGTTGGTAGGAAACACCGAGACCTCGCATTGGGGTTAGACGCTGAATGCTTTCACACATGCCAGCTCAGAATAAGTGGCAGAAGCTAAATGGGTAATGGCCTTTTAGTCAAGTGAGGACAGAGAACTGTTGTCTCTCCAGGTGGAGGTGGTTGTAAATAACCCAGAGAAGCAAGGCACACAGCTAAGTCTCTCAGAAACGGAGTGTTTTGAAGAATAAAGTATCCCCCAGCCACGGAAAGAATGTTCACCCAGGCTGACCAGCTGTTTTTTCACTGCTCCCCTCTTCTCCAGTGGGAATCAACAGCTTCCCTCTGGTCCCTGACTTACCCAGGAGCCTCTGAGGATGGCCTTGAAGGTTATCTACTCTTTTTTTTTTTTTAATATCTTTATTGATTTCAGAGAGAGGAAGGAGAGGGAGAGAGAGAGACAGAAACATCAATGATGAGAGAGTCATTGATCGGCTGCAGCCCACAACCCAGGCATGTGCCCTGACCGGGAATCGAACCCCGATCACCTGGATCCCAGGTCGACGCTCAACTGCTGAGCCACGCCCAGCTGGGCAAGGTTATCTACTCTTATTTGGGTTGGTTAGGGAAGGGGGGTGGGTGCAGGATGGAGGGCGTCAATGGGGGGAAGGGGGAGCATCTGTAATACTTTCAACAATAAAGATAAATTTTTAAAAAGATAATACTTATTTTTTTAATGTAGAGATGTATAAAAGAAAATGAAGGCCCGTGATTCTACAACCCAGTTAAACTTTGTTTACAATAAAAAAAAATAATAATAATGTGAGCATATGGTTAGGAAATTTAAATATTATAGAAGGGAATAAAATGAAGAAAAATTATGTCCAACCCATCTCCCAAAATTCCCTTTTCCCAAAGCTTATTTTTTTAAATTATACAAAAGGGATCATATACTTTCTGTACTTTGCCCTTTGTAACTTATATCTTAATGATCCTGTCACATTAGCACACACACTGATGTACCTCATTCTTTTACATGCTGGCGTGCTCTGCCATCCAGCATCTATATCACGATTTATTTTATCAGTTCCCTTGTGGACATTTACATTGTGTCTAGTGTTTGGCCATTACAGACAAGCCTGCAGTGACATTTTCATATACGTACATTTTTCACTTTTGTAAATATATCCAGGGCGAACTAGAAGTACAGATGCTCTAAGGATATGCATGTCTAAAATGTTGATTAATATGGCCAACAGGGCCTTTATTTTCAGGAATTCCAGTTGATTCTTTACACGCTGTTTTCTTGTACATTGAATGTATTTACCCTCCGAGTTAAAAAGAGAGTTGTGAAATGAATTCCCTACCAGTACATTTAGAGCATTTCAGGCACTAATGTTTTTATAATCCCTTTAGAGGATGTTGACTTGGCGTAAGTATGATTTTCCTTACCATCCGATTAATGGAGAGCAAGTTCTTTTGAGCTTTAATCCCCCAAACTGGTAGATTATGCAGTAACAGCTTGGCATAGTGGAAACCGAAGGGACTTGGAGCCAGTCCTGGATCCAACTGACTCTTTTACTTGCTGGATAAAAAATCCTGGTCAGTTACTAAGCCACACTTAGTCTAGCTGTCCTCATTTTTAAATGGAGATAATGTCACTCATCTGCAGAAGTGAGACTTATGCTAACATAAATTGTTCTCTTCCCCTCAGTGGGTTCATTCATGTGCCTTTGTTTTATCACTAAGGGTATGTAGTTTGGGAAGGGAATCATGTTGGCAGTGGATTCTTGGGGAATAGTTTTTCTCTGTGCAGAACTTAATGATTAAGGGACTTGGTCTTGATTCAGAGGCTTGTTTTATTGAACTGAGCTCACCAATCACTTCATTCCCAATGAGCCCTCTGCTCTGTAAGCAGGTGGAGGGTCAGTGCCTCCATGCAGTATAGTCTCAGAGTTTCCGTGTTGGGAGAAGCATTGACGACAGCCTGGCCCAGTTAATAGGTCAAGGCTGAATAAGCCTCACTGTGCCCACACAGTGGTCAGCCCATGTTTGACAGTTGAGTGACGTCAGTCCCTTGCCTTGTGGGTGGGAGTCACTGAGCCCATCTCATTAAACTCCTGAGTTATTTGATTAGACCCTAATCAAGGCATCAGTATTCAACTCTTAAACTGAATTTTATCTATTAATACCCACAAAGGGAGGGAAAGGAGAGGGAAAAACGAAGGGTATATAACTGGCAATGATGCTCTAAGTATACACAGGTTTATGGATATCCCACAGTGCTTAGGACAGCTAGCCATCGGGATCAGGCAGGTCACTCTAGTGTTGAAGGCAAGAGATAAGATAATGTACAGGGTAATGAACTGTGCTCACTGTCTTGGGCCCGGGGAGCCCTGGAATATGGTGTGGTATAGAATAGCAGAGCGTGGACAGAAATGTATGTGGGATATCAGCTTTGCTTTCCTCCAGATTTCTAGCAAAGCCATTCCTTACCTTTCTTAAGAATGAAAAATAGTCAGAGATGTTCCCCCTAATAATTTCAGCTTCGAAAGAGTTAAAAACAGGAAGACTCGCCCTGCCGGGCGTGGCTCAGCAGTTGAGCGTTGACCTGGGATCCAGGCAATCGGGGTTTGATTCAGGGCACATGCCCAGGTTGTGGGCTCAATCAGTGACTCTCTCATCATTGATGTTTTTGTCTCTCTCCCTCGCCTTTCCTCTCTCTGAAATCAATAAAGATATATTTTTTTAAAAAAACCAGGAAGACTAGCCCAGCCAGTGTGGCTCAGTGGTTGAGCATCAACATGTGATCCAGGAGATTGAGGTTCGGTTCCTGGGTTGCGGGCTCAATCCCTGGCAGGAGGCATGCAGGAGGCAGCCGATCAATGGCTCTCTCATCATTGATGCTTCTATCTCTCTCCCTCTCCCTTCCTCTCTCTGAAATCAATAAAAACATGTTTTTTTAAAAAACATAAAAACAAACAAAAAACAGGAAGACTATGCCAACCAAAATATTTTTAACTGAAGGAAAGAACACAAGCCAACCCAGCCGATTTATGAATTAACAGAACTTTGACTTTATCTTTTTATCTTTTTTTTTTAATCCTACCAAAGGACATGTATAGAGAGAGGAGAGAGAGAAGGAAAGAGAGAAACATCAATTGGTTGCCTTCCATATGTGCCCCAGCTGGGAATCAAACTATCAACCTTTCGGGCCACAGGATGACACTCAGCCAACTGGTCACTTCAGCCAGGCTGACTTCATACATTCTTAATAATCTGGGAGAAGTGAAGAGCATTAATGACATTTAAAGGGATGGGATTTTCTTTTAATTTACATGTGACACTCCATCATTCCAAAATTATCCATTCTATTGTTACCGTTCACTCATTCATTCAGCAAACATTTTTTGAGTTCCTTCCGTATGGTGGACATTGCTTAGTGGACACTAAGGAACAAGGTACCTGTGTTCCATAATCTCATACATAGCTTATGAATGGGAGGAAGGGGGACTCAAAATCAGGCAATTATAATATGTGAACAAAAGTAGTAATCACCAGCCCGGCAGGTGTGCCTCAGTGTTGAGCGTCGAACGATGAACAAAGAGGTCACCGTTCGATTCCTGGTCAGGGCACATGCCCGGGTTGCAGTCTCCATCCCCAGTAGGGGGCGTGCAGGAGGCAGCCAACCAATGTTTCTCTCTCATCAATGTTTCTATCGCTCTGTCCCTCTCCCTTCCTCTCTCTGAAATAAATTAAAAAAACATTAAGGGAAAAAAAGAGTAGTAACTACCATTTGAAAAGCACTTCCTTACATTAAACTAAAATCTGGCTCCACCTACAGGTTCTGTTTTATTCCTCTTTGTACCCCGTTCTCTAGAGGACTCACTGAGGTTGAGTTCCCCCAAAGCAGAGTGGTTACTCCTGATCCCAATATGTGAGGGTGAGACAGTGGGGAGGGCAAGACGTGGAAGGAAAGAGTAATGGGGCCTGGATCCTACCGTGACTCCTGAGGAGCAGCCTCCCGACATTGTGAATCCAGGAGACAGGAGGCTGGCTTCTGACCCTGTTGGTTCAGGCTTGACACTTGGGCCACATGAGCTCCAGAGGCTTCCAGAGAACGAATGGCACGGGTGTGCGTGGATGGGATGACACTATTCAGCACAGCTGTGGCTGGGATCGGAGGTAGGCCAAGGGGATATGACATGGGTCTTCAAAAGTGTCTGCCCAGGGACAGCAGATTCAAAAGTGACATCTGTGCCAAGGCAGAGCCCAAGTTGAATTCTCCATAGGGCCACGTAGGATAAACCAAATCCCTCTTCTCCCTGAGATCCTAGAGTGTGCCTGTCCTGTGCTCCTGAGTTTTTCTAAGATAAGCACACCGTGTGCTCATGTGACATTTTTTTAATTCTTCTCATCACCCTGGTCTCACATTGTACTGAAATTGCATAAAAAGTGAATGTGGTACTCTAGGTGGGCTAACCAACAAAGATATAGAAAGGCACTATTTATATAGAGTAGCTCTTCATGGCACTCCAGTGGTAGCATGTTTGTTTTGAAATTCAGTGACATTAATAGCATAAACAGTGGCTCCTTCATAATCCATTTTATATTTGGGGTACAGCCTATTTTTGGCTTAAAAATATAACTTAAATATTTTTAAATAAAATGCTCAATTTATGCACATCATATTTTAACATTTTTGTAGCACCCTAGTAGCTTAAACCTTTGAAAGACGATGATAACCTGTAATGGAGCCATTTTGAATTGAAATGGAGGCTCCTTTAAATTAACTATACCAGAATCTTATGTCTCTTTAGCCAAATTTCTGTATATGCCACATATATGGAGCATTAATTTGATCCCAGTTTAAAATTTTGTTCTTTTTCAGGAAAATATTATTTTTATGATAATTACTTCGACCTGCCAGGAGCTCTTCTGTGTGCCAGAGTGGTGGACTCTTTAACAAAGGTGAAAACTTTTATTCATTTTTTAAGAAAACTGTGATTGATATACATATTTAGTCATAAATCAGAGGACTTAATTATAGTTTATGTCTTTTGAGTGGAGATTTTACTCAATTTCCTCTTTGAGGTTTCAGAGGTGACTAAGGAAAAAAACAAAACAGAATTTGGCCAAAATGTTTTTGGAAAATTAAATAAGCAGTGACCATTTTTCCCCCAAGGGATGATAAACCTATTCTCCAGCAGGGGGTGCAAAAGTCTAGAAAAAAATACAGAACTTGGCATCTGTATAAATTCTTAACAGGGCAGGTTATTGTGGGTAGTCCCACCCCAAGCATATAACTTTTTTAGTAAAAGGTTTACCTTTGCCTTAAGCAAGCCCTGCCAAATTGTTTGTGTGCATCTAGGTTAACATACCGTTGAAATAAACTGTAACCACCTTAAGACAGCACATAATCTAGTTAACTATTCTGTAATCCAATCCCGGCTTTGCTTTATCCCACCTGCAGGTAATCTTCCTTGTTCCTCATAAGTTTCAAATGTACTAAAGAAGCTGCTAAACTGTTATTTTTGCAAAGCACTGAAATCTTGTTCCCCAGGATGTCATCAGTTTCGCTCAAATAAGCTCTCATAAAAATTCTCTACAGGTTTGAATTTTATAGTGACATCTTTATCTTCAAGTGTACAGTGTGGCTTTAACTCTGCATTTTCTACTGATGGGCCCCATGTCCCAGCAAAGAACAAATTTGGTGCCTGGTCCCTGCCTCAGTTTAGGCTCAAGTGACACACCCCATTTTGGAGTTTATATTTTGAGGGGTGGGTCAGAAACAATGTGCCTAAAGCTCTGTTTGCTTCTTTAGAAAATGTAGTCCAGTTATGTAATAGAACCTCACTGCTTTTAAATAAAGCAAAAGACTAGAAATGCTTTATCTTGCTTTCAACTTGTAGAATCGACAAGGGGAAAAAATACAAAAAGAAAATGCAAAATTATTGATGGATGTCAGTTCAGTAAATGCTTACTTTTTTTAAACCAAAAAAAAGAAAACTTACATCTGGAAAAAAATATTTTCTTTCCTCATTAGCAATAAAAAAGTAGGGGTAATTAAGAAAATTCTACATATCCTTAAGCATTGTAAATAATATAAAACCAGAAAGTGAGATGAAAATTTTAAATTCATCATTTTTAGCATAATTTAATGTATATATACTTTTTGTACTGTGTATCAAAATTAAATAGATTTCTAGTTATATCAGTTTATACTTAGAATTTCAGACCTATGAACATAAATTGGTTTTATGTCAGAATCACTTGCCTTTTTGCATATGTTATCTTTTAAAGTCACAGTGATCATGTTCATAATAGAACATAGGTAACAGTTTATGTTTTACTCAGAATTAGTCATGTGTTTATGACAGTTTCTGTGGAGCAGTAGTCCTGGTATTTTTGTAGAAATTGTAATTAACATGAGATAGAATCCATTTCTCATTTCATAGTGACTACAAGCAAATGTATCAGTCTTTAAATATTTCAGAGTTTTTATAATAGATACAAATATCTAATAGTTGGTCTTCATTTAGATGGAAACATTACTTAATATTTCCAAGCAAGCCAAGGGTTGTAGGGTTGTGTTTTAATGTAATGTTTGTTTGCTTTCTGGTTTAAAAAAATCTTGATAAAAAATGGTTTACATTCTGAATTTGGAACCTTCTTCATGTCTCCTATAGAGACTTGCTACTCTTTCATATTGAAATTCAGGTACATGTGCATTGAATTCTAAAGTAACCAGCTTGCCCAGCTGGGCGTCGACCTAGGATCCAGGTGATCGGGGTTCGATTCCCTGTCAGGGCACATGCCCGGGTTGCCTGCTCGATCAATGACTCTCTCATCATTGATGTTTCTCTCTCTCTCTCCCGCTCTCCTTTCCTCTCTCTAAAATCAATAAAGATATATTTTAAAAAATAAATAAATAAAAAATAAAGTAACCAGCTTTTAGGGTTTTAAGGGTTTAGGCTTCTTAGCCCCATTGATGCCATAGTACACAAAGTAACACATTCTGATGTCTCCAAGGCTATAATATTATAAATTTATTCATGTGTTTAAAATATTCTGTAATTTCTAATGAGTAGAAGTTTTTATTTTATTTGGGTTATATGAGCTATGTTAATATTTAGCCGCATGTGTGTGTATGTGTGTATATATATCCTTGTAGCAGTGATTTTCATGGAAGATTGTTATTTTTAAAATCACGTTTAGAAGAATGAGAAGTTTATTAACCCATTATGTCTTCTGAAACACAAGTCCCTATTTTAGAATACAGTAATATTGTAATTGTTTGCCAAGTATTTTCTATTATGCTCTAAAAAATAATTATTGCATATGTTACATTTGGAAATTTATTTTATTTTTTTTAGCAGAACAATGGTCAGAAAACATTTGATTTTTGGAAGGATATAGTTGCTGGTATACAACACAACTATAAGATGTCAGCTTTTAAGGGTGAGTAATGTGAAGACTTTCTAATAGATGTTTATTAAATGCTGTGTGTTTAATGACTTACTTAGACGTTACCTATTCTGCTACTGTCCTTAATTTGGACTTAATTCGATCTTAAATATCACTCTAAAGTTGGTTCCGTTTACATGTTCAGAGGTTCTTTTGTTTATGTCTGTCTCATGTCCATAATTGCCCATATTCTGAGCTGTACCATCTTTTGCATGCCTATCAGTAGAGTCATTTTGTCTGTTCCCCAGAACTGAAGTTCTGGTTTTGCTGTTTCCTGGCTTGGGAATGAGGGTTGTTGACATGTGTAACCATTAGTGTAGTAGTCATAGACTGTTGGAAAAAGTGAAAATTCCATTCTTTTTGCTTAAAAAACAGGACTGGCCAACAACCTAGAATGGGGACAGAGATATCACCAACCCGAGTCTAGGGTTTCATGATTTTGTTTACAGGTTTGCTTGGATTACACAGATTACTTCTAAGGAATAAAGAGATGCCTTTATAGTATGTGACCCTGGTGACCTCAACCAGACTGTCCTAATTCAACCAATGGGCTGACAGATGCTCAAGAGCAGTATTTTTCAGCTAAGAAAAACATTGCCCTTTTTTTTCTTTTAGAGAGAGGGGAAGGGGGGGGATAGAATCAGGGATCAAACCCACCACATTTTGGTGTATGGGAGGATGCTCCAACCAATTGAGCCACACCAGCCAGGAAAACTGTTGCCTTTTGATTGACATAAAAATTGCTTGCCTTCTTTTAATGTAGTTTAAGCCATCAAAATAATCCTAAATATTATGACTAAAAACATACCAAGGCGACAAATAGTAAGTGCAGAATATTTGTTCAAATTACATATTTCTCTGCCACCTGCTTCTTTCTCTCCTAGAAGAAAATCACTGATGTGGAGTGATTGTCACTTTTCTCTCCCAGCACCAGCCCTTCACCCTGGCTCATAGGTCACATGTGGTTCTGAGGGGGCCTTTTCACAGTCTGCACTGAGTGCTTGGGTGTGTGGGAATGCCCATCTCCAATGCAGAGGCGTATCCTTGACAACTATAAAACCATCCACCACTTTATGGTTTTACTTTTTATTAGCTTTGTAAAATGAAAAGACTTAAAAGAATGGTTGAAAATTGCAAATTGTTACTGCCAAATAAATTCTGCCTAAAAAAATCTATGGATATTATTTTATTGCATTGTAAATAAGGAATAGGTAAAACATTTCATGCTTTCATAAGTGAGGTACAGCTTATAAGTTTTAAACAGCAATATAAAAATACAGTACAGAGCATAAATAAATAGTCTTTTCACTTCCAGGCAGATTTTGAAACCCTTGACATTAGTTATAATTTCACTGGAATGGGAAGCCCAAGGTACATACTGTAAACCCACAAAATTATATGATATAAAACTCAATAAAGGAATTAAAGAAATCAAATTAATTATACTTGTGTTAAATAAATACAGCAGGTCAGGCACCTACTCCCAGGTTGTGAAGGGTATACAGAAAGCTTTTCAACAATCACAGAAAAGTATGAAAAGGTTCATGATAAAGCACCTTGCATTTCAGGTTAATTTTAACATAACATTTTGTTTTTGTTTTTATGAGAGCCATAAAAAGTCTATATGCACCTCTGTATTTGAATAGATCTTCATGTAAGGGGCCATATAAGCCTTTGAGTATGCACCATTAGAAAGACCCTATGATATACAATGTCTTTTGAATTTGAATATTCAAGTATTTAAGTTCTATGAAGATATGATACCTCCTGAATGTTTCCTAAAAGTTCTGTTAGTTGTTAGAAACAGGCTTATTTTAAAAGGAAATGCTGAGATTCTGAAATCAAATTTAACATAATGTAGCATCACAGATCAGGGCTTTTGTGATCATTTTATATTTTAGCTTAGCAGGACTTTTATGGTGAAATTTTTAAATACTGAAGGACTGCACAGAAAACTTTAAAAATTCTTAGGATTGCTGACTAGGAATTTGAGAGGGTCGTCACATATTGTTTACCATCGCTGCTCGCTTTTCAGAGGGAAAACTCTGAAAGCTCAAATCTGTATTTTGGAAAATAGCGATATCTTTTTCAGCCTACATCCATATGCATTTTGTGGGATGGGTGAGGTTGGGGAATGCCTTTTCAAGCAGATTTATATTAGCTTGGTGGGAATATGCTCACATTGGAGCCACTAAGAATCCTGAGAAAGAGGAGTGGACGAACTCAGAGGAGTACAGGCCGTTGGACTCGGCATTGGGCAGTTGGAGCCATACCTGGTCATTTTCTGCGAGGTCGAGTATGGCACTGCCTGAAGCCTGATCCAGGTAGCCCTTGGCGTATTCATCATACGTATACATTACGGGGGTGCCATTTTTATACAGACCTACCCAAACATGGTTCCCTTTGACATGCACATGGTAGGAGAAATAGTATATTCCCGGTATCTTGCAGGTAAAGATTCCAGTTCTTGGGTCATAATGCTGTTGCTTGTTATACAGAATCTTATCAAATGGGATGGGAGCACCTGTTGCTGGGTAAGCTTTGGAGAGAATAACAGTGAAAGCAGACACGGGCATTCCTGTTATGCCCTGGTTGGCACTTACAAGAGGCCTCCCAGAAAGACTGGGCCTTTGGCCTGCTTTTGTAAAGTCATCGGGAATGACTGCTTGGCCTGGGGGACCTGGGGGACCTGGGGGCCCAGGAAGGCCAGGCTCTCCAGCGTGGCCTCTCGGACCTGGAGGCCCTGGTGGCCCAGTGGGTCCATTGAGGCCCTTAGTTGCTATGCCAGCTGGGCCAGGAAGACCTGGAGTTCCTGGATCCCCTTTAGATCCAGGGAATCCTGGAATGCCTGGTGGCCCAATGGGGCCTCTGGTACCTGGTATTCCAGGAGTACCTCTTGGACCTGCCTCCCCATTATGTCCAGGCATTCCCTTAGCTCCTGTTGGGCCCGCAGGGCCTGGGAGCCCAGGAGGTCCTTCCACTCCACGGTCACCTTTTGGGCCTGGTAACCCTGGGTTACCCTTAGGACCATCAAGACCTGGTTCTCCCGGGTACCCTGGTTTCCCATCTAAACCGGGGGAACCCCTTTCTCCTTTAGCCCCAGGGCGTCCTGCAGGCCCAGCTGGCCCTGTCTCCCCTTTAGGGCCTGGCATTCCATGGTTGCCCGGGATGCCCTTTGGTCCTTGGGGTCCCACATTTCCAGGGGGTCCAGCCAGACCTGGCTCCCCAGGATGGCCTGCTGGGCCCTGTTCCCCTTTGGCACCCGGTGCCCCTGGAAGGCCGACAGGTCCTCTTTGCCCCTTCAGGCCTGGCAAGCCTGGTTTCCCAAAGCCAGGAGGCCCTGGGGGCCCAGCTATTCCAGGAATCCCAGGGTGACCTTTGGTTCCTGGGATCCCTGGCTGGCCCGGGGCTCCAGGAGCTCCTGGCTTTCCAATGCCTTCTGGTCCTCGTTCCCCAGGAGGACCTTGGGGGCCTGGTAGGCCAGTTGGTCCCCTTTCTCCTGGAAAGCCTCGATCACCTTTGATGCCTGGCTGTCCTGGAAACCCATTTTCACCTCTTTTTCCCACCCCAGGAGGGCCAGGTGGTCCCATGGGACCCTGAGGACCTGGAAGGCCCCTCTCACCTGGACGGCCAGGAGCACCAAACCTAGTCTCCCCTTTCTGGCCATTCACACCAGGGACTCCTGGTGCACCTTTTTCTCCAGGAAAGCCTCTGGGTCCCGGGGCTCCTGGGGATCCCTGTTGTCCAGGTTTTCCTGAAACAGAAATTCCAGCTGGGCCGGGAATTCCAGGTGGTCCTGGTGGGCCCCGTGGTCCTGGTAAACCAGCTGGTCCAGCATCTCCTTTTGGTCCATATGGTCCTCTCTCCCCTTGTTTTCCTGGCAGTCCTGGCATGCCTGGCTTCCCAGTGCTTGGTGGTCCCGGTGGTCCTGGCAACCCTGGCTCTCCTTGAGGTCCAGGACTTCCATAGCCTGGTTTTCCTGGTGGCCCAGAGGGACCTGGGTGCCCTCGAGGTCCAGCAGGTCCTGGTGGACCGGGAACACCTTGTTCTCCTCTTACTGGTATACCTAAAAGACATGCCCAATACACACACCCAGACAAGGGCATTGTTAGTAACCTTAAGGAGAATCATTGCTTCTGGAAATATGAGTCAGGACAGAACATTGCAGTGTCAATCAGTCCATTTTGGCAGACTAGTCTTGAATGGATTTAGACAATACATTTTATATTGTTATTAAAAAAACACTGCTAGAGAAGATGGTTTCACAAGACTATGGCTACCATAATACTTTCATTACAACCTAATGATCCATGAAAATAAGCTGGGATTGAAGAATTCATCTAGAATAAGAGGGCAGGGGAAGCAAGTTTATTACATTTATTTTGGGAAAATCATCTATCTAGAAAGGAAAGAAAGAAAAACAATATCTTACAGAAATGGAAGGAAAAGACACGTGCAGAATAAATGGGAAAATATTTAAGAACTATAACAATTTTCCCTCACAAAAGCTGTTCTGTAAGACATAAATGAGAAATGCCCTTAATTCTAATATACATCAGCCATGGCCCTGCTGAACACAGTTTAAAATTTAGGGTTTTTTGTGTGTGTTTTTTACCTCAGTACATACTCCACTCCTACATTCTCCATTATTGACTTAAAATTGTAACAGAGAATTAGAGAATGAGAACTAATGGGAGAGATACCTAAAATAGTATTAAAGTGCTTATCTAAAGTTTTCCTTAATGAATGCAAATAAATACTGTTGATTTCATAGAGCTTTGGGTTCATTTGAGCTAACCACTTCTACTAATATAACTTTAAGCTCAAAAATCACTTACTCATTGCTTGTGATATGAAAAGTGCTATTGAGCTATAAGTGTGGGAGGAGTGCAGGGTGCATCTTATAAGAACTTCAATCACAAAGTGCTTTAAGTAAGAGGTGTCCAAGGGCTGTTTTAGTCGTTCAAAGGCGGGATATAGTAGAGTGTTGCTGGCACTAGGATATAGTATCAGGAAAGTATTTTGTATTACTATGTGAAAGAATCTTTAGGCCGTCATCATCACAAGTGTCTACAGAAAATATTCTTTCTCAGAGAATTTAACAGCTAGCAAAGATGGTAATAAAATTACATATGATTTTAAATATCTGGTTGCATAGTTTACATTAAAATAATTTTCTGTTTAATAAATTTGCAGAAACATAATTAGAATGCCTCCATATACTATGTAGATTCTTATACTGTTGGAAAACGATTCATTGTAATGGTAGATTTAGTAGATGGCACAGTAGTTGATTAGTTTGGTCAAAACCCTGAAAATGACTTATACCTATGACTTTTGAGCCACATCTTTTTTGTACAAAAATAAATACTAACTTGGAATTAACATTAAATGAATTGAAATTATAAATTGAACTATACCTTTGAAAACATATTTTGATGAGTATAGTTCCCTTTATTAGTTGTTAGTAGATTATTATATTTTTTAAATCTTTCATATTAATTAACTGGCATGTAAGAAGTAATCAGCCTATCAGCCTATGGAAAATATTTCCATATGCTAACACAAATCTTGTGATTGACTTTAGTTTATATGATATCTCTAGACAAATGGGTGTTGATACATTGCAAATAGAATAGATGAATAGAGGATTTCTTAATGGTTTGGAATAGAAGAACACATTTTTTAAAATGCCAACTATGTTAAGTTGGGGTTTGCTTCAGAATATTATAGAGATTATGTCCATACTAAAAATAATTGTCTTAGTCTTTTTGGAAATCTGTTTTAACTGTTAAAATGGAAAATAAACAAGTCTTATTGAAAATGACTGCATTAGACACCATTTGAGACTAGAACTGTAAGGAAAAAGAATGATCTCTGCCACTTGGAATGTGATACAATACACATGAAATATACACATAAATACAGTGATGTATCCCAGTGGGTCCTGCACCTCTCAGTGCTGGGAAGACTGGCTTCTCTTGTGTCCTTGGAGGACAACCCCTCTTTGTAACCTGCCATTTGAACACATTTGAGATTTGGGTGGTACCATCCTCAACGGAAAACAATTACCCAGTAGGAAAGTTTCTTAAATGCCCACAAACTAAAATAGTGGTTGGCTGTGTCAGAATGTGGCACTTGCATGTCCACCGGCTGTGGAGCCCTCTGCAGCATAGTTTAGTGAGTTTTGGCTAACCTCTCTTTTGGCCTGTGTTGAACACATGTGCACGCTCTATTTTTGTTATCAACTTAATGTTTTACTTGTATAGATTGTGAGCTTTTGTCTTCATTCAGTGTACAATGCCTGCCAGTGGGATGATAATATATTGAGTTCCTACCTTGTATAATCAAGTAGAGATTAAGGTGGATTTAATAATTAAGATACAGCTTCTCAGTTTTTTATTTGTTAACAAGATACATATTTTTACTCTGCAAAAATAGCCAAGATTATACAGTAAATTAAGGTGGGGAGATAGAAATATTTTTAACCTTCTAAAAGTGGTGCACTTTATTTTTAATTTAAGACTGTTTCTTATGATCTTGGTAAACTATAAAAAGTCAGAATTTGTGGTTATAAAGAGTATAACCCAGGGCTGCTTGTCATAGTATTTCAAAATGCCATTTGTTGCTTTAATTAGCAGATTTCCTTATCTTTTATTCTTTCTTTCCTAACATATCTTTCTCTTATTTTATTTATAGTTTGAGACATTCAAGAATATCTGTTGTGTACCTGTGCATTTATTTTTAAACATTAAGCTACCTTTTATGAAATACTTTAACTTTTAACTTTCCTCTTTAAAAGACAACCCTATAAGTTTAATTTGCTCAAAACTGTTGTCTCCAAAAGCATAATTTTTAAAGTTAATAGCAAATATCCTTAGCTTTATTTATGGGATAAAATATATAGCTATAATGAGAAAATACTATGGAATTTGAATCCTACAGTTAGTTCAGATTATTCAGTTTAATTCAGTAGATGCTTTACAGGCAGTGTGTGTCAGATGTTAGTAAATAGAATTATTGAATATGAACTGTAATAATTTCTCTTTGAGGATCTGTTAGCACTTAACTTAATATTTTCTCAGTACTCTTACAGGAGCCGAGAAAGCTGAACAGATATAGAAACCTGCTACTCTTTTTTGTGCAGTTGGCAATCATTTTATTTAAACCATTTTCAACTTAATTGCTTTTGATTGGATTAATATTTCTAGATTATGAGTAATTGTTTATGCAAAAGCATCATTTGAGGGAAAGAATTTCCACACATTAAAAAGTTCAGGTATATCTTTCCACTATACTTATTGTGCAAAGCATATTAATGTTCTTGAATAGACCTACTTTTTCCATAAATCACTTTGGACCAATTCCAGAGTTTGAAAATAATTTAACACCAGAGTTAGTAACATTTTGTCAAAGAGACCATTAAGACTGAAGAAAGCAACAACCAACTAGCTAATCAAGCAACATAAACAGTTCAGTTTACCTTTACTCTTTATGGCATAGGGAATGAAGAACTGTGTCTTGGTGTTGGGTACTGGGCCTTTTATGCCTGTAGGTGTTTGGTATCTCTCAGCATAAAACGCTCCATGAACCAAGTTCAAGGACATGAGCAGCAAAAGGGCTCTTTGTGGCAGCATGTTCTCAGATGGATTCTGAAAAACAGAAAAGAATAATTTCATTCAACTTTGTTTATTGGCCTGCTTTATTTTTCTAATGTTGCTCAAATGAATTCCTTATACAGTTATCTACTTTTTTATCTTACCCTATATATTTTAATTATATTTCATAATTAATGAGTTATAAATTTTTAGGTATATGAATATATGTTTTGGAAAACCACATTCAAGTAATCAAGTAAAAATGAAGTAAAAAAAAAATGAAACTGTAATTGAATGTCTGTATTAAATAATTCAGGATCTTTGACATAGACAAAAATTTCCAATAGTTTCAAAATACACTGAAATTCAGATTAGGGCATGTTTTTGCAAATCCAGTTTTATTAGGACTATCTTTTATAAAGACTGAAGCAAATTAAACTTTCTGAGTGCATTTTAGTGGAAAGCCATTTTTTTTTAACACAAAATCCAAGTAGTTAATTCACTGAAGCTTGTTTCCCAGCAAGCTGACATGGAAGTCCACCTGTGAGCATTGAGTCATAGACTTACCTGAGTTCTGGGAATTCCTGGAGATGGTTTCTTGGTCGCTTTCTGAGCCCTCCAGGTAAGCAATGCAGAAGATGCTCCCTCTAGAGCTGTCCTGCCCTATTTATACTGATTTCCTCTTACTACATGAGGTCACCCTGAGCTTCAGCTCCTCCCCCAGAGGTGGAAAGCACTAATTATGGTGGAAAGTTCTATTGGGCAGACATACAAGATCAGGTTGGACTGTCTTTTCCCTTGTTTTCTTATTGAAAAATAAAGTCTTTGTCTTAAATATATATTAATAGTTTTAACCATGCACCATCTTTTTCTGTGATTTTATTTTAGACGTTATTACTCAGATGTTTAGGCTTGTTCATGATGGGATGACACTACCCCTGTTATATTTTTGAAAACCACATTCTTGTGTTATTTGGTTGAAAATATTTGGTAGTATATAAAGAGAAGAAGTCTTTTGGAGGAGAGTGTGGATCTAAAACAGCATCTAAATTCTTTAATTATTACATAATGCCATCAATGTGTCCACTGATGTTCCTAAATTTTTATGAAAATAGTTTACCCCAATTCTGACTTATTTTTAGGCATGAGAGTAACATGGTAGTGAAAATGTAGGCATGCTGTTTTGTATATTAGGATTTTAGTGTAACTCCTCAAAAGTTATTAAGAGAAATTTTAAATATGATAGCATATGAATATTTCAGGTTTTACATATTAAATATTTTAAAATTTTCAGACAGAGGCAAGACATCCATGAATTTGATAGTAGAGTTAGCAGGATAATTACCCTGAAGGATTTCGTTTATTCACAGCACTATGTTCAGTAAATGATTTCAGATTTTATTGCTTAATTTTGAATTTTACTTTAGAGTTGCAGTAGAGATTATAAAAAAAAAAACACCCTTAACTTGATAATGTCATATCATATCTGTTTAAATAAGTTTACTCTGTTCATTTTGGAAGAAAAGAAAATCTTCAAACTTTGCTTTCAGCTTTTTAAAAATGTCATTGGCTTATGTTGTAATTTCCATTAGGGATCTTGAATCAGCCCAATTAGAAATATTTTTTTCCCTCCAAAGATGACAGTAAATGTTATCATTGTCATTTTAAATAGTATTCTCTTTAACATTTAAGAGACTCTTAAAATAAGTTTTAGGAATCCTGAAGAATCTAAAAGAAAGTTGAGAGGCTGATTTTTGTATCTTATTTAATTGCATTATTTTGGAGCTAAATCAGATCAACTGTACAGGAGCAGAGGGTGAGAAGGAGCATTTCATTCAGGGGCATAGATGCATTTTTAAAAAATCTTTATAGAAGTAAAGTGATATGGATTCAGGATTAGTCAGCAATGGAAATAATTGAATGTTTGACCAGTGGATGGAATAAAAGTTTGTTATTTTTCTTTTCCTTTCCTTTCCTCCTCCTCTGCATATAATTTTCTGTATGTCTTTTAAACAAAGCCTGTATAGCACCTTATGGAAATGGAAATGGTAACTCATGGCACTGCCTCCCTTTCTCCTGGCTCTCACTTTTAAACCTTTTGTTGGTTACCATATTAAAAACCTGCATTATCATGTATGTCTGTATAATACTCATTGATACACATGAAATGTGGCTTTATATCAGTTCAGATTAACAGGAGAATTGGGAAGTTTGTATTCTAATCATCTTTCATCACTTGGAAATTGTCTGTGGGGTAGCTTTTGTAATGATTACACGTACTGCACTGTGTCTGTAAGCGACTGCAAAAGGTAAGTAAAAGAAAGTGGCCTTGTTCCATCTGCTTATGGTTCATTTGGACAAGATTTTGAAAAAGTCAATGGAGTAACATCGACTCTTGAATGCTAGACTGAAGAATTTGTTTGAAAGGAGTTATTGGAAGTACATGTTCTAGTATTTTTGTGTGTGTATATGGTTAAACACACACACGCTAATTTGTTTACGAGTGAGATTGATACCCATTAGATACCATTCATGTGAAAGTTGAGAAGATTCTTTCTCAGCTCTTCATCCCTAACATTGTGCACCTGCATAGACTCTTGGTTCATCTGTGGCAACTGTAACTATTTTCAGAGCTTTTCACCTTAACCTCTGTAGGTGTCTGCTCTTCATCACCACAATGAAAAGGTTGGACTAGGTTTTTAAGCTCCTCCCAGCTTTAAAATTAGATTATTCTTATGTTTGAGGTAATCTGCTCTTCCCCGTGGCCAGACAGTGGGCTTAGCTTCACTTAGTACTTATGAGAGACAAAATCCATACCAGGTGACCCTATGCCTTCATTTTGGGATATGTAATTACATGTGGGTATTTGTCATTCTATATTCCCCTTTAGCTTTGGGAAATGTGGTGTCTTCATTGAATGAGCCTCGGACATTCAACCCTTTTTGCAAATAGTGAATGTACTTGTACTTATTTCAGCCCGGGGAATCTGACTACTGTTTGCTTTGTTAGTCACATAAGAAGCAGTGCTTATCCAAACAGATTGTAGAATCAGAATTTTGCTAGCCACACCCCACCCAATTGTGTATTTAAAACTATTTTTATTCTGGGAGTTTACTTGTAGCTGTTTGAAGTGACTAGTCTGTGGCTTTATGACAAAAACTTGTTCCACTTAAAACAGAGAGCCTGCTCTTTAAACTCAGTAACCTAAATGATTTTTAAAAATTTGTTTAATCCTTACCTGAGGATATGTTTATTGATTTTTAGAGAGAGAGGTGAGAAAGAGAGAGAAACATTGATGTGAAAGAGAAGCATCCGTTGGTTGCCTCCTGTACGTGCCCCTACTGGGGATCGAACCTGCAACTTAGGTATGTGCCCTGATCGGGAATCAAACCCACAACCTTTTGGTGTGCGGGGCAGTGCTCCAACCAACTGAGCCACTTAAACCAGGTCCTATTTTTTTTTAATATCAAATTTTATGTTTTTTTCACAGCTAAAATTTAGCTACTCTAGCTTGCCTACTTATTTTCACTTCCCAGGGTCATTCATTAATTCACCAGATATTACTTGAGTACCACTATGTGTCAGGCATGGAGGTAAGAACTAGATGAATAGTATACAGCTTCTTACAGTGTTTAAACAGTGAATCTCAACCTTTTCCCCTACTTCCACAGTCCTGAGGGATATGACACAATTCCTTCAATCTTTGTGGTTTATTAAGATAGTGGTGGTTCAGAGACTATATTTTGAAAAAGCTCCTCAGGTGATCATGATGGACTCCTAAATTGGAATGTCTTAGTCTGCTATCAGACTTAGTGTTCTAGTACCAGCTTATTAATATTCACTACCTAACCTTGTTGTTTTTGTTTATATGGTTTCTGACTTTATTATAGAAATCTTGTCTTATATAGAAGTAGAGAGAATAGTTACAATGCATGCCTGTGTGCTCCCACCGTAGCCAATTTCAGTATAACACGGTCAGGACAACTGGCTTGCGAAACACCTGAACATTGACCAAGGAACAGTACAAGCCAGCTCCAGCATACACTGCGCACTCCCTGAGTCAGATTTATAAAACAGGGAACATGCAGAGGGGTCTGGCTTCTGTTACTGCCCTTTCTAGTCTGTATTTCACCTCCTTCTATAAGCAACATTAAAAAAAATTTTTTTTAGGTTTATCGTATTTAAAAACTGCATATCTATTCAAAAATATAATTCATTCATTTCCCCTTTCAGTTTCTTAGGTAAATGTCACCATAATGTACATACTCAGTTATGCCTCTTTTTATGTAACCATGTATCTTGGAGATCCGTATGTAAAGATGGTCCACGTTCCTTTTTACAGCTGCATAGCACTCCATTGTATAAGTGTACCATGGCTTTCTCAACCTTCTCCTTGTTGATGGTCATCTGTGTTACTTCTTCTCTTTCGCTAATTCAAATACTACTAAAGTGAATAATTTTGTCTGAATGTCTTTGGGAGAGATTCTTACAAATGGGATTCATGAATTAAAGATAAATAAATATGCATGTAATTTTGTTATATATCATTAAATTGTCCTGCACAGGTGTATTATTTTGCATTTCCACCAGTGTGACAGCACCTATTCCTCCACAGCCTCCCCAATAGGATAGATATGTTGTTAGATTTTTACCCATTTTAGAGGCAAAAATTGGAATCTTGGTCTAGTTGTAATTTTCATTCTTTTTTGCTAACCATGTGGTAGAGCATCTTTTCATAGAGTCAGACCATGTTTCTAGCCCACTCTTATGTGTTCTGTGTCTTAGGAACATGAACCTCTTTTCTGTGATACAGTTTTCACATATTTTTTTTCCAGTTTGCCATGTGCCTTTTTAGTTTGCTTGTAAGGATTTTTTTTATTCCAACATTTTCCGGTAAGATACATAAATTTTTGATTCATAATTATGTTGTTCTTTTATAGACCCGGAGCTGTAAGGGACATTAAAGGTCATTTAGATCAATCATTTCATTCTTCAGATGAAGAAACTAGTTTCTCTGTTAGGAATGTCTCATTCCCTAATGTTTAATCAAGTTAAATTTCTGAAGTAAAGGGCTTTTGGTGAGAGAGCCCATTGAGGGAAAACACCACCAACTAAGCTAATGTGTTCATCTCCTTACCCAAGCAGGATACTGATTTTCCTGTTCCTCTAATCCTTCAGTCTTAGCAGTGGAAATGGGGAAAGTGCCCAGAAGTTTAATTAGGGCACTTGGAGACCCACAGCTTCCACCACCTAGCTGTAGCTCATTCCTATTGAAAAGGTTTTAAAAGAACATCCGTGGGCGCTATTACAGAGCCCAGAAGCTAAAAATGATCTATTTGTGTAAATAGTCTAATGTGGTTTAGTGGTAAGATACCTGCTGAGGGTTTGAAAGGAGAAATTCATGCATGAAAACAGGTGTTTATGAAAACCCCTGACACTTCAGGCCAGGTCAACTAAAACTGAGTGTCATTTAAAAAGTTTGAACAAGGGCTTTATATTCTATTTTCCATTATACATAAACTGCTACATTACTTAAAGAATTCATAGTTTTGTGCCCCAGGTGCTTAATGACATCATTGTCTTTCCATAGTAACTTGCCCAGTTAAAAATATGGAGCTTCTTGGCCCCTTGGCTTAAAATCTTAAAGGATCTTGGCCACCCAACAAGTTCTCAGCCATTTCAACACATTCCTACTCTGTTTACAAGTTCAGCTTTCACGTGCAGTCAGTCTCTGCTAAATGGGAAGGAGAAATTAGAGAGTTAAAGTGTTAATTGGGGTGACCACAGGGTGACACTTTTTATTTGAATCTCTTTGCTCCCTGTTTATTGTCAGGCTT